GATCCTTGGCAGACACAGAAAAGGATCAACACTAATGGCCGTTCAAAGTAATACCAGTGCTAATTGCTGACCCAGCAACCTCAACTGCTTCCCTTTGATAAACCAAGACTTCGGTGGGATTTCGATCCGGCAAGGCCCATCATCCAGAACTTCTCGGATGGCTGGTTTGGTGGCACCAGTAGCTCGGTATGCTTTGAGACTCCGTTCCGAACACCGGTGACTCCGTCGATCATGAATTTTGATATCAAATTGGTCCATCAATCCTACCTCATGTCTTATGCTTTGGGGCTTCCTTGGCAAACCAGAATTTGTTTAAGGATTCCCAACCATGGAGTGAATGAAAATCACAGTGCAGTGGGCCAGGTTCGATGCCCTTGGTGAACGCCATGTTCGAGGCATTGCTCTTCCTCTACACCTTCGGACCCTCTACTTCGCGCCGCGCGCGACGCACCACGCGCGACCGCGGGTGGTGGTGGAGGCCGTGGCGGCCGTGGTTGGCATCCTACAGGGCCGAGTAGTCAAAAATCCGACGGATCAGTCGGATGAGTGGAATCGATCGGCATCCGACCCATAGATACCAGTGTGAGCCTGCTTTGCAATGTTAAAGGAACAAAAGAGTCGGTCAGCTAGCTGTAGCTGCTCCCGCCGGTTGTTATCTCCACACTGTTCCTGATGTCTTGGGGATCAGATGGTTGATCTCAAGTTTGGGAACCACCACGAAATATGCCCATTTGCCACGGTCTCAAAGCATTATATAATTATTAATCCGATTACTCCAATTACTCCGGTAAGATTAACGTGCGACAAACAAAGGTATGGTGCTATGTTTGCAAGTTTCCTCATCTACATCCGAGGGATGCATGTTGGTGGCCACTTGCAATAAACAAGGAATCGCAGAACATGTTTTACGTTGCCTTTCGGTGACTTTTTGCATGTCTACGTTTGTTTGCTTTGCGTCTCATTTCAATTTCAGTTCAATTTCAATAAATCCCTCTGCTCCCTGCAATCCTATTGTGTTTGCTTTCAAGTCACTGCTGGAATCCTTGCATTCCCCAGGATTTGTAATCTACCATAACCTACCAAATGCCATGCATGTTAAATGTTCCTGATTTGTCCCTCAATTCCTGTGTTAATCTCAAGGAATGTATGATAAGTCTTTATAGTGCTGACAAACACATGCACAGGTTGGGTTTCAACTGCAAAGTATTCACATTCATCATGCCTGCCCACCAAAATGTCTGTGACTGCTTCCAACCCTTGCGGAAATCGTGCAGGACTTGCCAGCTACCTGTCCCACTTCCGCCGCACTCCCTGGCTGCTGCGACCCATGCGGAACTTGTTTGCCGGGGGTGCTCAGTGGGCGGGTTGGTTCGTTCGGTTCGGAAGCGAAAAACACCGATGTGAGCAGCCTTCCATTCGGCTCCCCACAAGGATGGGAAGTGGAGAAGATAGCTTTCCTTCCAGTAAGTCCCAACAAAAGCTGACCACTGCCAAGACCTGAGCCGTTTGTGACCTCGGGGTCTCTCTCTAAGTGACCTTTTCACAGGGCCACCCTACACTTGTGAGCTGCCTAGGAAGCAAAGCCTATAAAACTTAAACATCTTTATACTATATTTTTGGTGTAGAATCTACACGTCGTCACCCCGCTTCATCACCGTCGTGCGTCGTGTCCATCGGTGTGAGGCCAACTTCGCGGTGACCATTTCGCTGGTCACGGCCAGTGCGTTTGCCGCCATCTACAAGACGGAGACGACCGGTCGAAGGGCTTCCATTCGACGCAGAGAAAGAATGGAACAGAATCCTTGGTCACCCTTCAAAGTGACACCAAGACAAGAGAATGGAGCCTAGAAAGAGCCACCAGTCAACAAGGCAGATCAATCACTTACTTGCACTTGTGGATATTTTGCAGTTATATTATACTACCTGGAATTTCATGCTAGGACAAACATGTTGCGGACTTCTTAATTTGCCTGTTTATCAACTATGATATATCTCTCAAAACGCTGATGTTCTACTGTAAACTCCTAAAACATCCTAAAACTAGACATCCTAAAGCCACAACCCAATTCCTAAGATGTAGCGGCGGCCTGGGACATGAACTTTAAAAGCAAACCACCAACTGCACTTCCGTAACAAAATCCCGCAAAGCAAGCATCAAAAACCTGCACAAAGGAAACACGTAAAAACCAACAAGTCCAGGTGGGAGAGTGGATGGCTTCATCGCTATAGGCTGCTTAACGACATGTTGCTATGATTGCTATGTGATTGTTTCTCGAATCATGAATTTTGTAGGTAGTGTTGTATTCAAGTTCCTATTACAGGAATGTGTTCCTCCCTCAAGAAACAGATCCATCTTGGGAGGTTCCACTCCAGCGTCTACCTTACGTTGTCGCATCGCTTCACTTCACGCTCGAGCCAACACCATGAAGGAGACCAACCTGCGAATGCTGAACGTGGAGGCGGAGCTCGAGCCAGCACTGTGACTTGGCGTGGGAAGGTTTAATGATTCAATTGAACGTGGGAGATCCTTGGCCTGAAGTTCGAAGAGACATGACAGGTTGCTGGATAACAACAGGAGTTACTCCCTGTTTTACGTCGGAAGTCTTGTAGAGTAATTGGATAAATTGCAATATAGTGATATATGTAGAGTAATCACAACTGTTGAACGACCTTTAATTACTGTACACGTTTAACCATAAGATAAGGATGACAAAAGGCACGAAAGGATGTTTGTTTCCATCCAGGTCCTTTGTGGCAAGCAATTGTGGGTCTAAGCAAGTATCAAGTGTGATTGAGGGTGACAGATAGCTTGTTTTTCCCTCAACCATGGCCCAACTCTCACCTCGGACAGGCGGTTTGATTCACCGCATGTTCGCCCCGACAAGAAGTGCTCGTCCATGCCTTGAAGTGGGAGTAATCATGGAATTGTGTTCGCAATTCTTCACAAACTGTATGTAAGTAAGGGATCTATGCTGACCCTGTCCCTTCAGTCACTGTTCCTCACTGGTTGACTAGGCCCCAATGTTTGCTGGAAATCACATCATGTGAGAATCAAACCCTCCAAGTGGAGACGCCTGACAAAGCCTGATTTTCAGTGTGGGAACACCCTGCAGGACATTGAGCACTGGTGCCAAGCGCCCTTGGATCGTGAACCCTATGGGATATGAGAAAGAGCTCCTTGGATTTGCCTGGTCCACGAAAACACGTCCACTCCTGCAAAGGTTTGTGCAAGGCCAGTCCCCTACCTCTACACGGTACAGAACCCTGGAGAAATATCATAAACCCTAAGGGTCCAGGACCATCCTGAGGATGTCCTGGACGGCCCTAAGGGCCCCTCTTTGGAAGTATACTTTCCCTTCTGGGAAAGTATGTTTTATGATTCAACAGTGCTAGATCGAAGCTCGCTTTCTTCCATCTGCTCCTCAGAGCTGTAATACGTCCTTTTTGCTGTATCTGAGGGTACTTGGATGGCGTCCAAACGTGTCAACACGTTGGTGTTCGGCTCCGGTGTGATGTGCAAACCATCTGCAACAGGTCGACGGAGCTTTGGCCGTTCCAGTGTACGACTGTTCTCCCAATGTTTGTTCGTGTTTGTGTAGAACACGCAGGATGTGACCCGGTCCCCTCATTTTATGAGCAAAGAAGGATCACCATGATTCACCATTTACTCATTTCCCACAGATGGGATCCGCTGCCGAAGCAAGCAAGTATCCACAACCCATATTCAAATTAGAATCGGTGCATCGATCTAATGTAGATGACTACCACACGGGCAGATTTCTTTGTCAACCGCCACTTGTTTGAGGATTTTGCACATAAATGTAAAAACAACTCAATTATCGTGACCGTCATGGAGCAACTCACCAAGCTCCGTCTGGAACCAGGTTCCCTGTGGAGGGTATCTTCTTTGCCATCCTGCCTGCTATTGGCTTCACCGTGCTTGGCTCTTTGGTGGTCGGAACCATTTTCGTCGGACCTCGCCGGGGAATGGAGAGGCCCGAGTGGGTTCGTGGGAATGGAAGTGGAGAAGTCATTAGGGAGTGTTAAGAAGTGAGAAAACCTGCAGTCTTGGCTTCTTGGCAATGTTTCGTTTTTGGTTGGATGGAACTGGGTGTTTCTAGACTGATTTGGGTTGTAAATTCCAGGCCATCCAGGCCCAGGCATCCAAAGTGCACCCAGTGGCATCAACCCTTTGGATGTTCCGTGTTGCTGTTCGATTGTCAAGGTGAGAGTTTGGATGTTCGATTCGCAGCAATCAGCTGGAATATATAGGAATGACCAGGAGAGATTGAATCGATTGTGTCCATTGTGCCACGCACTCTTGTGCCACGCACTCTTACTAGTTTGACTGTCCTCCTCCAATACGCACTCTTCAATCCTGTCGTTGAGTCACCTGCCCACCAGTCCCAGACCTCGTCGGGGAACATGTCCCAGGGATTCAGGGACTCGCAGGGACCTGTGAGCTTCCGCTTCAAGACTGAAGTTTGGGGCGCAAGGATCCACAGATGGTTTGTTTGAATGAGTCCATTTGGTGCATTGCGAAACACTTTCATAATCGCAAAGGGGGTTGATATGGGTTGATCAATTCGGTCCAGCTGTTTTTTTCAAACAATCAATTTGTTTCCATTCTTCAAGCGGAGGCCAAATACTGTATGTCCTCCCCATGAGATTATGGTTTTCGGGATCCCCCTTCATGGAGAGAGATTAGTCTCGGAGAGGGGCTTAATCCGGCTATCACAGTTGTGTTGCAGGAGTCTATTTAGGGTTAATGTTTCATAGCTCTCGGGGTTGATAGTTTGGAGTGCTCGGACCCCACATGGCCGTAATGGTTATTATACCATCCTGAAATTTGGTGAGATTAGTTGTTATGTTTTGCTTGAAGCTGCGGCTGGAATTCACTGGCCAACAGACATCAACATGAAAGCCATTTGTTTGAGGACGTGCCCTGGCAGGGCGATTTTCTCTGTTGACTCCCACGTTTCTGGGTGATTGTCCAAGGATACCTCGATCAAAACTTGACCCTTCGGGGGGGGGCCGTCAGCGCTGGTGCTTCTGGTGCTGGCGGCGGGCATTAACCTGGACATAAATACCTCCGACGGCACCACCTTTGTCGTTAGCTTCTGGACAACTGGAGGTTCAATTCCTCCTTGAACACAGGCGTGAGTTGTGAGTAGCCTATGGGTTCAATTCCCGTTCTCTGCTGGCAGTGGGGGTTGCTTGGCCTGCAGTTCGATTCTGCTTCAAGATGGTCTGGCCCGATGGAGCACAAGGGAGAAGTTTTGGTTTACTTCGGCCACATCACCAGGTGTGGTTTTGGGTTGTGTGTGAACGTTTTCTTTTCGCTCACACCTTGGGTTGGGACACTGCAGTCCTCCGGCTGAGGGGCTGTTTTTTGGACGTAGTGTTGTACAGTGTACAGCTGGCCGACTTTGTTTGGCATGGTGTTGTTGTACAGGGCTTGCACCCGCCTTCGCCTTGTGGCTTGGTACCTGGAGCGTCTTGGCTTTGATCCATTGAGTGGTGGCCGCTGGGCCGTACCCTGGATCGACATGGTGGGGTTGCGACTTTGATGATGATGGTGCCTTTGGCTTGTTGGTGGTAAAGTTCGCGGTGACCTGGTGCTACCGCTGTCGACGGTGGTCGACGTTACTTCACTCTGTTGGGTGGCTGCCATTGCTTGGTTGCTCTGGTCGCTGTCTTCACCTACACCTTATGACTGGCGGCACTTGGCTGTGTCGTGCTGTGCGTTCTGCTTTTCTTCCAGCCGTACAGCTACAAATAATGATGATCGATCAAAACTTGACCAGTGTCATCGTGAACCGGCCCTCCAACAACCTCAAGAGTCTTGGTGGCATCAAGTCCCGGCAAGCCTGTAGGATCTTAGGGAGTCTGCGGAAGTTGACAAACATAAGCAGGTCTGGTTTCTGAGTGATAGTGGCAGTGCTAAAGGATAGTGCAATATTTAGGACACATCTTTTTGGTGGGACCACTGACTTCCGCACCACCCCTCTCCCTGCTGATTCCAAGGAAGGGTCCTGGCTACCACCTGGACCTCTTTGTGCGTGGCGCCGTGACGCTCCCCGCTTGCGCGATTTTGGGTTTGCCGCTCTCGGTGGCCTCCACAGTGCCTTCTATCACCCACGCGACCCGGCGCTGGTGAGTCTGCTAGGAGGCTGTCAGCAGCAGATGAGTGAACAAAATGCTTTGATGTTCAAGATTTGTTTGCCAAGTTCGCTCAAATTTGCTGTATGACTGAGATCAAGATCAATTCCACCGTAACCGAGCCAGGTGTATGCCTTCCTTTCGAGCGCTTGTTCAATGCATACAACTAATATCAACTAATCATCAGAATTGCAAGAAACTCTCGTGGTAAGGACGCGGGGTGGTCAACCTCCCGGGTTGTTCATGGTCGAAGCAGAATTGCTCTCAGGTGATCTCCCTCACGACCTACGAGGCACAGCTCAGCAGCTATACCGCTTGTGCATGTTTTTCGCGTGTGTCGAGTGAGTTAAGACTGTGGTTTTATGCGATTTCGCAAGGGCGAATCCATGGGCGACCCGACCGCAGCCAGCGAATCCCATGAAAGCACTAGGTCCGGACGTCCAGCGTTGAGTTCCCCAAGACAGATCGGTTTTATTCCCAGGTTGAGCTGTCATCAACTGGGTGTGAGATTTCGTTCGATCGTACCCCAGCTAAGGTGATTTAGGGTGATTTTTTGCGGATCGAGACAGCCGACAGTCACGTTGAAGCTTTGGTCCCCCATTGGTGCACCCATCCAGGCTGACATTTAAGATCGTTTTTTCGCTGGTGGCTTGACATGGCGAGGTCGCTATCAGAGGCACCACAACAATGTACACCTTAACAAACGTCACAAACGTATTCCGAAGAGCATGACTCTAGCATGGCCAGCCCATGGCTCTCCCACAGAAGAAACCCGTGGCAGCCAGGTGCAGCAGCTGCCTCAGGGTGAGCGCAAGGTGCCGGTGAAGGTCGTGGAGCAACGAGCGACAAACTTCCTCATCCACGCGCCCTTCCAGCAAGGAGCGTAGGAGCTGGTGGAGGTGAAGTTGACCACCATGAGATGGTCCAAAAACCAGATCCAGCGTGGTACTGTAGGGGAAGGTTGGGGCGGTGGCCTCTTGGAGGCCTAAGTGAGTGGAATGTGGGGACCACAATGTAACCACATCTAGCCACTAACCTTTTCAAATCACCAGGCCAACTAGTTTTGCCTAGATTCGAAGAGATGTAAGCCAAACGGGAAACAAATTGTAGTGGATCCAGTTCATCCGCCAACAGGCTCCAGTGCCTTCATCCTGCGATTCCATTGCCTCTTGTGAGGTCTTAATTGGCTGCGCACTCTTCTTGGCGCCGGTTCTGAAGTTCTTGCCACGCTCAGTGCTGCAAGGAGTCTTCTTCTATATGGGTATCGCATCTTTGACAGGCGGCCGTGAGGAGGTGAAGAAAGACGTCGTTGGCGTCCAGCACTGGACATCATGTTCATGGTGGCCCGCACACTATCGCATCATTGACAACAACCATGTATATATATATATTAATGATATTACTTATATTGTTTTTTTCTGCGTGTCTTTTCCGCTGCATCGATCTTCAGCCTTTTTGGCTGGCGAAAA